CCGGACGGGCCAATGGCCTGCGGAGACTCTGGGACAAACAGCAGCGGGGGCAAAGCTCTAGCCAATGAGAGCGCGGGACTAGCCTAAGGGCGGGGCCTGCGCGAAGGGGCGGTGCGGGCCAGCGGATGGGGGCGGCGGCCAGGAGGGAGGTCCCTGCCCGGGACTGGGAGGAAGGAAGGGCTTGGAGCGCAGGTGACTCCGTCCGGCGACAGCACGGGGGCTGGAGACCTGCGGACGTGGCCCCCTTGTCGCTCAGCTCCAGCTCCCGGCCCCATCCCCCACAGCAGGGCTTAGAGACCACTAAGCCTGGTTGGATGGAGACGTGGATAAAACGACTCGGCGGCTCCCACTTGTTACCTGTGTAGTGGACTTTCGTCCTCAACACAGACCTGAGAGGCAGGGCTCCTTGTCCCCATTTTACTAATAACATCGGAGGCTTTGACAGGTGGATAGACTTGCCTCAGGTCACACAGTAAAAGACGGAATTGTTAAGGACTTCGCTTGGGGTTCTGGGTGTGGGTGTACACCCATCACTCAGTTTGCAAGAGCACTGGCAGTTTGTTAAAGCTCATCTGAGGCCTGCAGCTGAGGGATGGAATTTGCTGCTAAATGCACGTGACAGCTTGTGTAGCACAGCCATTCAACTCCCGTTGTTACCTTAAGCAACACGGTCCACTTATCTGTGCTTCAATTTCACCCTCTAAAATGGGCTAATGCTACTACCTCATGAGGTGCTAAGGATTAACAAGTTCCAGCCAGTTTGAACAACCTGTGGTACAAGCACGACTTTCCCATTGATGGCATGGGACAGTCACACATGTACCACGGGTGGTTCAAAGCGGCCTGGCGGCAGTACATAGGAATTATGGCCCCATTGTGAGCATGTTAACCATTAATCCAAGTGAAGCACCTAGGACCACCTCCTTATCTCTAGTTAGCTGTCCTAGATGGGATTGCTAAGCAAGCCTGGCTTACTTTCATTTCTGTTATTCCACTGTCTTGATTTAGATTTTAAAAATTGTTGCTCTTGTAATTCCTGTCCCCATTTCACACATAAAGAAATGGAAGCCCAGGGGGCTGAAGTTCTTTGCCAGCATTGCCCACTGGGAGCATCCCCACCAGGAGGGATGAGGCCACAAGGAAGTCACCTGGGGAGCCATTGGTGGTCTCCGCCACCTGTGAGGTTTCCTGCCCTCACCCTGAACTTTCGTCAGGCTCTCAGCCCTGAGAGGAGGGAGCAGCACAAGAGCCTGCTCACCACAGGGATCTGGCCCACAGCACCAGCACCTTGCTGGTTTCCTGGCTTCTAGTGCCTCCGCTGTGCCCAGAGTGTGCCCATGCGCAGAGCTATCACTTCTGCCAGGGCCAGGAGGTCACTTGGTGCTCCTGTTCTGGGTGCTTGGCATCCAGCCTTCGATCCCCATCCGCACACACATCTTTTCCACACTGGCCTCCTGGGAATTCCCAGGATAAGCCACATCCTCTGTACCTCCTGACTGCCATGTCCAGAGCACTTCCCTTCCTGTCTTTCCACCCCAGCACACACACGCACTCACACACTCTTTTGCCACCCCCAGAAGTTTGTCTAAAAAATTCCTCCTCACCCTTCAAGTCCCAGTTCAAAGAGAACCAATGTGCTAAAGTCAGAAACTCCTTCCCCAGTGCTCCCTGAATCTGCAGTTCTTCCCCTATAGTAATAGCCATACTCTGCTGAGCAGTGCACGTCAGATGCTTGGGGTTTTTTCTGTCTCTTAGAGGCAGCCCAGGGCCAGCCTTGGCCGCAGTACGTCCTCAGTAAACACTGGTCAGATGAATGAATACATAAATGAGGAAACCACAACTCATTTTGGCAGAGCAGAGGCAACACAGCATCAGGTACCCAGAGATGCAATGTTAAGCTGGCAAAGACCAGAGCCACCAAACTTTGGGGTTGTCCAGTCTCAAGCCATTGTTCAATGAGGCTCAGAGCAGGGAGACAGTGGCCCGAAACACAGAAGTTAGGAGCAAACAGAGAATCTGAGCCCAGGCCTCCTGTGGTACTTGGCCTTGGGCCGCCTCCAGTGGGAGACATATTTGAAGTGTCTCTGATAACCATCTGGGAGGCCAGCGCAGTCCCATTCCTAGTGCCCCGTCTTCTCATCCCCCAACGGGAAAACAGCTGCTCCCCGAGCTCCTCAAGTCTCGGTTGCCACATTTATCTCAATGGGGAGGTCAGTGGTGACTCTAAGGGCCCCAGGAACCCTGAGGAGATCAGCACACACCGCCCAGGGAGGATTTGTAAACACAGCTTTGAGGTCAGCCAGAGCAGAGTTTGAATGTTGGCTCTGTCCCTTATCCCTGTATGACCTGGAACAACTGACTTTTCCTCTGAGCCTCATTTCCTCATCTATACAATGGACAGCAGGAATAACGGGGCCTGCCGGTGAGGAGTAACTGCAGTCAGGCAGGCCAAGCGCTGAGCACAGTAGGTGCACAATAATTGCCGGCTACCACTGCTATCACCATCATCCCAGAGTGCCTCTCGAGACTCCCCTTTCCCTTGTCTCTGCTGCAAAGTGAACTGCCCCTCCTGCTGACCAGTCCTGCTGCGTGTCAATGACCTTTCGTCAGGGCAGCTGCTTCCCTGCCCAGATAACCATGTTTGCCCGGCTGCCCTGGTGCCCTAACCCCAAAGAGCAGGAGAGAGGGGATTGTGAGGTGGATGGGGAAGTGAGTATCTGGACGGCCCTCCCCATCTCTGTGTATCCTGACCCTGCATCCTCCCTGTAGCCCTGAGATTTTCCCCAACAGACAGATGTGGCAACCAAGACACTGTGAGTTCTGCCATGACCTCTTCCCCTCAGGAGCAAGGACAATGAGCTCCTTGACACCCTTGCTACCTGACCTCAGGTGAGTTTGCCCACCTCCCTGAGCCTCAGTCCCTTCATCTGCAAAATGGGTCAACTCTCTCCAAGGTACCTGACCAACAGCAGTGAGGCAAGGTACCTGACCAACCGAGTGAGGCCAACCCGCTTCTTTCCTTCTATGAAGGGGCAGGAGGGTGCAAGTCACAGCTGCCTCCCGTCCCTGCCCTTGAAGAAGCCCCCGACAGAGGCCTGAGTGTTTACAGGCCTCTCTGGGCAGGGGATGGGTTACGTAATGCCAGATGTTTGTAAAACTGGCATGGGCCCAGGTTTCAGACACGCTCTGTGGTCCCAGAGCCCCTGAAGGCCTCTTTCCCTTTCCCTTCTCCCCCACCTGGCTCCCTGGCCCAGGTCTGGGGAGAGCGGCAGGCTGGAAATTTTCAGCTGCGAGATCATCAGTCACCCCTCATCCTGACCCCTGTGAGGACCCCCAGCCCTGCCCCGGAGGTGGGACAATCACCTTGAAGAGATCAAGGAGCTCAGGAGCTGTGCAGCCCATTCCCCTCCCAGGGGACCCTCCTGGGACCTCCCCTCTCTGTCCACCCTTGCCCGTCCAGCCCCCAAGGGAGCCAGCCTACCCTTTGCCACCTGAGGACCCCCAGGGACAGCAGGAACGGATTGAACAGCGTGGGCCGGTCCCCGGGCATCCGCCATGAGGTCACCAGTCGGCCCTTGAGCGGGCTCCCAGCCTTGCCCTCTGCTGGCCTCTTGTCTGCCTGTCAAACAGGGTCCGATGTTGGCCACAGGTCCCTCTGGCGGGATGGGGACATCCTTGGCCATAGCCTCTCCTGCCTGCTCTGCCACTGCAGAGGCCCCATGGACCATTGTTCTCCTCCACCCCTCCTGGAGAACTGCCAAAAAGAAAGCTTGTGAATTTGTAGGGCCCCTGGGGCTCAGCGGCCTTGGGGCTGTGCACCCCACGCCCCTAAAGTCAAGCCCCAGGTTGCCAATGGGGGGGTATAGATCACAGATGTGGTGTCTACAGATTATTTTCCACTAGGTTCCTAATGTTAAATACCCCAGAGATTATTAAGTACCTATCTCTGACTTCTCCTGAAATATCTAAAGATATGGAAACTCTAGGCCCATCTTCCTAGTGGCAATAACCACCGGAGCCAAAGGGTCGTACACGAGTACCCGAGTCTCTACTCTCGGCCTTTGTTCCTTGCCTGGCATTAGGGCTGTGACCCCAAATTACAGGAGAGAGACTCTTGCAGACACCCTCACAGGGCCCCAGAATACTCTCCCTTCAAGGTCATCCTTGTTGGGGAAACTGAGGACCAAGCAGAGCAGAGGCACTGGCACAGAAGTACAAAGCAGGTTACAGGCAGGCGCAGGGCACAGCTGCGGTGTCCCCTCTCTGGAATCTGCAGATTCTTAGCATGAAGTCTTTTTTTGGGGGGATACCGGGAATTGAACTTGGGCCCTTGTGCTTACGAGGCAGGCACCAGAACCTCTGAGCCAAATCCCCGGTCCCTTTAGCATGATGTCTTTTTTGGGAGGGGGGGCGCTGAGACAGGGTCTCACTATGTAGTTGAGACTGACCTGGAACTCACTATGTAGCCCGGGCTGGTCTCACTCACAGTGATCCTCCTGCCTCAGCCTCCCGAGTGCTGGGATTACAGGTGTGCACCACCACGCCTGGCAGCACGAAGTCTTAAAGCATAGGTTGGGGAGAACTTGGGAAGGTGTGTCCTGCCCACACTTGGTTATATGCCCCCATCAAGCCCTGGCCGCTGGCATGGAACTGTCCCCACTGCAGGAACTGTGGCGGCATTCTGTCTCACCCCTGACTCTGGCACCGAGAAGGGCCTCACTAAGTATGTGAATGAATGAGTGAGTGAGTTAATGACAAGTGGTTAGCACTTCTGTCCAGTTGCGACTGCCCAGGACTAGGGGCGGCTGGGAGATTAGAGAGCTCGCCAGTATCGTTACTTCCTCTTTGTCCACGAAGCTGTCTCCAGGAAGTATGAAGAAATAACCCCGAAAGAGGAAGAACAAAGTTTCCAGAGTCCCTGTCACCTCCCCATTTCACAGATGGGAAGACTGGCAGTTAGTGACAGGTCATGCACAGCCAGGAAGCAGTGCGGGCAAGGGTGGGGGAAGAGGGAGCACTGGGTGGGAGCCCCCTGCCCAGGGTTCTAGTCTGAGTCCAGCCACAGACTGGGTGGATGACCTGGGTCTATTCCCTGCCTCTGTTTCCTCATCTGTGCGGCGCGGGGTTGGACAGAGTCCCCACACCAGCTTGCACTAGCAGTATGGCCAGGTTTGGGGACTCCGGGCTGCCAGATAAGCGCTCCCGGGCACACCTGGCTTTTCTGGTGGTGGCACAGGGAACAGCAGGATGAGGAAAACAGCCCTAAACAGTCTGTCTCGCACTCCCTCCCCTCTGACCTCACCCTCTGGAAGCTGAGGGTGACAAGAATGGTCTGTTCTACAGGTTGCAGGGAGGGGCAGGGCAGAGCTGCCTCTAGCTAGAGCCAGGCCTCGGCGGAGCAGTTTCTGGGGCTCCCTCCTGCACACATTTCTACAGCTCCAGGCCCAGCTGACCACAGCCCCTCCTCAGCTTTCTTCTCTTTGGCATTTCTTGCCCTCTGTCTGGCCCTCTAGAACCAGAAGGACCTGACCCTCAGAGACCATCAGGGTCAAACTGCTATTTGGGGAAAGGCAGTGACTTTTTGTTGCAGCCCAGCAAGTTAGAAGCAGAGCCCTGGGCTTCTGACCCCTGGATCATCTACCCACTCAGATCCCTAAACCAGAGGTGACTGCTGCCCAGCTCCAAAGCCCCTCTTTTCAAGGTCCCATCCCCATAGCAGAGCCAGGAAGACCCCAGAGAGGAACTCGGCCCACTTCCAACCTGGTCTCCCTTTCCATGCCCTCCCTGTGTGCCCATGCCCAGGACCCAACTACCGAGTTTGCCTGCTCCTGCTCAGTCAGTGAGTCTTGGCCTCTGCTTGGTTCTGATGCCTCAGGCTCCTCCGGTTGGAACTGGAGATGAGAGAGACTACAGATTAGCCCAGGTTGTGGCCTGGAGTCTATCCATCTATCCACCTCACCGCCAGTGTCATCCATCCACCCAACATCCACCTACCATCCAGCATCAGGAGATGCATGTGTCCCTCCAACATCCATCCTGCATTACACACCTTCTCACATCCACTGTCTGTCACTTGCTCATATATTCATCCTCTCCTTATTCATTGCCCATACATCCAACATCCATGTATCCTTCCTCCATTCGTGCAACATCCACTCTTCCGTCTGCCCATCCTTGCAACATTCATTTGCCTTCCAACATTTACACATCCATAAAACATCCACCATCCACCCTTCCTTCCATCCTTTCATCCATCCATCCATTTTCCATCCACCTAACCATGTGCTCACCACTGCATACTCACCCACCAGCTGGACAGCATCCCTCACCCGTCACAATCACCTGTTATCATACGTTCACTCCATTCATCCATCCATCACCCATTGCTCATCCATCACCTGCTCACTATTTTACCCTGTCGTGTTTTTGTTTTTGAAGACAGAGTCTCCTCATAGTCCCGGCTGATGTAAAACTCATGACCCTCCTGCCTCGGGAGGTGTCGGGACTACAGGTATGTGTCACCACCCTGGCTTGGAACCCAGAGCCTCGTGCGTGCTGGGCAAGCCACCTACCACCATGCTTCGTCCCCAGCCCTCCCTGTGTCTCGCGTGCATTTACGGATCAGGCACCCACTGAGCTGAGCCCCTCTTCATGTCAGGCCCTGGGCTGGGGGCCAGAGGTATTAGAGACTAAGTAGGCACAGCTCCCGCCCCATGGAGCTCATGTTTTTTCTGGGGAAATGACAATACAGTGTGACAGATGGAGGGAAGCAAGACAGCCGATCCCAGAAGGGGAACATCAAGAGCCCGGGGGTGGGCTGATTGTTCGGGGAGGCTTCTCAGGACAGCATACTTGACCTAAGACTTGAACAATGAACAGACACTCGCCGGGGAAATGGGAAGGAAGAGCATTCTAGGCACAGGGAAGAGCAGGGGCAACAGGAAGATATGCAGAGTCCTGAAGCCGGCTCAGCACAACTAGAGGCAGATCTGGGGTGGAAAGAAGGGAAGGAAGCCAGGAACGCCAGTCTCTAAGGATTTCTATAGAGAGGAGCAGCTGGAGCCCTGGCCGGACCTGGTGAACACCCTGCTTTGTCATCTGTGAAATGCCTTGGTGCAGATGTCTCTGGCTTCTCCCCAGTCATCACCCCCTAGCCTCCCAGGGATCCTGTAGCCTCAACGGGGGGCAACTCCAGCTGAAGTCTTTCCCACTTGCCCTTGCACTGGAGACAGGCAGCCTGCAGCACAGAGTCTGTGGAGAAAGCCATAGGGAGCCACAGGAGGGAGGGGTCCTCGGCCCTGCCTGGGTCCATAATGTAGCCAGCTTTGGACTGGACGCGTGAGCCTCATTTCTCACAACTTCTGCCTGTGTGACCCCTGACAATACCTAATGAGTTGGAGGCTCATTTTCCTCATCTGTAAAGTGGGAGTAGCAGCAGCTGCCTCTTGGCCATCTGTGACACACATGACAAAGCACACGAGGTACTGTCCCCAGTAAACCCGGGGCCTGGAAGTCATCCATGGGGGAGGCAGTGCCGGACTGAGAACCCAGCAAAGGAGGGTTTGGGTGACACGTGGTCACCCTAGTGGTCCTGCTCAGGGAAGTGCTTGGTCCTGTATTATGGCCAAGGCCCAGAGAGGTACTGTGCTGTGTTCCTGCTGAGCTATGGCAGGTGGTAGGGCTCTCCCCACCCACCACCTCCACACCAGTGCTCTGGGCTTGAAGTAGGACTGGAGTACCACTGAGGCAGGGGGAGGGACCTGGGGAGCACCTACTGTGTGCCTGGTGCTGGGCCTACTGTGCACATGGCCCTCATTTAAGCAGCCAGCTCACCCAGGAAGCACTCTGTGGCCTTTTCTCTGTGTGAGGAGCTGAGGCGGGTGGGTGAGGCTGTCCTGGCCCCAGCAGCAACTTGCATATGGCAAGGGGAGGGGACACAACCACACTGGCTGCAGTACCAGGTAGCCCCAAAGGAGCTGGGGCCAGGAGGGAGAGTGCCCAGCTTGAGGCTCAGGGCGATCAAACTGAGAAGACCGGGTTCCCCTGCCTCAGCAGCTGTGGGAAACTCAGAGTATCCGTTTCCTTATCCACATGAGTAAGGCCTTCTCACTGGGCCAACATGGAGACTAAATGGGAAAAGGGCACGTGAAATACCCAGACAGGGCTGGGTGTGTAGTAAACGCATGCTCTGCCAGTCATGACCCTGCTGTCGGGTGCAGTGGTCAGTGTGGTCCAGGCCAGCAGGGAGGACCTGGGCTGGGCCTTGGGACAGAGGGTGCAGGGGCTGGGGTCATGTGACAGGAAGCCTTTTTAAGGAGACCTGCTGGGATGGGCCTGGCTTTCTGGCCACACTTCTGAGGCAGACAACTTACCTCTGGCTCCGGGAGGCTGGGGCCCTCTGCCGGCCTGTTCTGCTCCAGCCGGACTGTTTGCTGCCCTCCAGGCAGAGACAAGGTCACTAGCCCACTTGTCTCTTGGGTCTTCGGCCACTGGGTGGAGGTGCAGGCAGGGCTGGGCAGCTGGGCTGGGATCTGGGGCTGCTGCCCAGGGCTGTGCCCATTGGCTACAGTGGCTGAAGCCCAGCCTCCGGGCTGGCTGTGTTGCTCCTGCTCCAGGACATCATCCTTTGTCTCTGGGGGACCCGGCTGTGGCCCTGAAGCCGGGTCACCCCAGTGTCCAGCTGGGTCCTTGTGGGGCAGCTTGGCCTGCAGGAGCTCCAGGAGGCCTTCCCAGTCCAGCCTCGGGAGTCGGGCCCAGGCCCCCTCCCCAGGGGCCCGGAAGAGGCCCAGCAGGTCCCTCCAGTCCAGCTCAGGTGGCCTCTCAGGGCCCCAGCCCATGGCCGTGGGCATCTCAGGCCGTTGGGGATGGGAGGATTCTTCCAGGCCTACCCAGGAGTGCTCTGGGAGGCTCCCAGGCTTGGGGGGAAAGGACAGCTCCTGTAGGCTGCTCCAGGCCCTTAGGGCTGGCTTCTGGGGGCACTCCTGCAGCCCATTACTGGGGGGCTCCTCCCAGGCCTCAGACTGCCCCCAGCTCTCCCTGTTCTCTCTGGGAAGGCCCTGCCATGCTCCCTCCAGGGCTCCTGCAGTCCCCAGGCTGGGCTCCCAAAGTCCTGGCAAGCCCCCAGGGCTCGGGCCCTCCTCCTGGCTGCTCCAGCTCCTTTCCAGGTGTCTGTGAGGGACCTGGGATCCTGGCAGCTCCTGCTGACTCTGCCACCCCACCAGTGGCTGCCTTGGGCCACCTCTGTCCCTCTCCGGAGCTTTCTCTGTCCGCAGCAGCTCCCTCTCAGGGGGCCTGGCTGATGTCCTGGGGGGCGGTGAGGATCGCTGTTGCTGCTGATCCCCCTCAGGCTGTCTCTCAAGACTCCTGGATCGAGCGGGCTCTGCTGGGCTCCTTCTGGTCCATTCTGCCTGCTTGGCAGGGGCCTTGGTCACCTGAGAAGGAGGAGAGGGGTGGACAAGGGCCTGGGACCCAGCAAAACGGCCACCGTCTGTCTGAGCCAGGCATGAGACAGGCAAGGCTGGGTCCTCACAAGCAGCTTAGATAAGAGCAGGTGGGGTCCCTGGGTCCCTCCCTGAGGTGTCAGCTCTTCCCTCTCATCTACTTCCCGCAGCTCCAGAAAGAGATCTACAAAGAGCTGCTCACTTTCGGGCTCCCCTCCCTGCCAGATATTGATTCCACCCTGGGCTATCAAGTGCCAGAATTTCCATCCAAGATACTCACTCCCCTGGGGTGGGCCTTGCCCTCAAAGAGCTTCTTTCAAGACCCAGTCCCTTTCCTAGAGAAGGTGGTCTTAAAGCCAGGTTAAACATCCAGCCTGTCCCCAAATCTCCTAATGAAGGAAGGGGATAGTGTGTGTGTGTGTGTGTGTGTGTGTGTGTGTGTGTGTGTGTGTGTGTGTCAGAAGGCTCTTCAGAGGATTAATTTGGGGTCCTTTACATTTCACCCACAACTGCTGGGCCTTGGAGAGAGGGGAGAGCTGGGCAACACGGCTGGGGCTCTGACCTTTCACAGCTGGCCTCCCTGCCCAGAACTCTGCCTGTCATCCAGAGGGAGAGAGAGGCAGTGCTCACCTGCCTCCCTGCGGCAGGGCTGGGCTGTCTTCGGAGAGGCTGGCTCTGACCTTGGCTGGGCCGCGGTGACCATCCCTCATCCCGAGCCTGGAAGGTTCCTGGAGACCCGGACTTCCTAGGAGCAAATGCAGCTGCTCCGAGGCCTTTGGGAGGGCTCCACCCAGCACCCCAGCACCTCCACTTCCACAGGAAGAGATGTGGGAGACCCAAGACCCACTGCAAGCTTGTCAAGGGCCCTAATGAGGTAGGACCCTTTCAGGCCTCAGTTTCCCCTTCTGAAACTGAAATGTGGGGCTATTGTGACAATACCATGAGAAACAGAGTTATCATTTGTCAGCCTTTTGGTTGCACTCCAGTGAAGAAAGGGGTTAGTGAAGGTGGAGAGGTGGGGAGGGGGTCAAGGCCTTGGTCTTAGCTCCCCTCCAGCCGCCCTCCAGCCCTCTAAAACAGCCCTCCAGCTGCCCAGACAATGGTCAGACTGGTGCTTGAGGGAATTCACATTTATCGAGCACCTACTGTGTACCAGGCACTGTGCACACATAATCACAATGTTCAAGCAAACATTTATTGAGTGCTTCTATGTTCCAGGAGCCAAGCTCTTGTACTGTGATTCTGTTTCATGTTACACAGCTCATGTGATGGTGATAAGAGAGGCAGGATGTTGTGTGCCCTGTATTCCATTCTTTCTGCTCTTTTCCTGTCCATATGGTAAATTTAGGATTCCTCAAGCCCACTGCCTTCTTGTCCTCCGCTCAGAGCTAACCAACAGGACTCTAGCACTCAGCCTTGAAAACTCCAGGCCATTCTGGCTGTTGGTAAAAGAGCTCTTAGCAAGATGGGAAAGTCAAGGTGTGGTGATGCACATCTGTAATCCCAGGACTTGGGAGGCTGAGGCAGGAGGATTGCTGTGAGTTCAAAGCCAGCCTGTACTACATAATAAGACCTTGTCTTAAAAAAAAGAAAAAGGGCCAGGGATTTAGCTCAGTGGTTCTGCTGCCTGCCTCAAAAGCGCAAGGACCCAATTTTGATCCCTGGTACCACCCCCCAAAAAAGAGAGAAGGGAAAAATTTTTCTCCTTTCAACAACTCCGGAAAGACGAACAAAAACTGTCCAGGCAAATGTGACCATGTCCAACAGAGATAGCTCTAAACTTTGTAAAAAGCCTGGTTCCAGGCAGTTGTCTTGCTTAATAATGGGTAGCTGTGGTTATTAGCACTCAGCAGTTCTCTGTTGAGAACCCCAAATAGACTCTGCTCACATCTGTCCCCTCCCATAGCGAGGGGGTCACCTTAAGCCCCTAATCGCTCCATAAGTATTTATTTCCATGGGGTTTGAGAGTGTGACAATGTTTAAACTGCTACATAGGTGGGGCGTGGGCATGGGCTTAGCCTGTGTGTGTCTGGATGCACTCCCCAGCACCACAAATATACATCAATAAGATAAATTGCTAAGTGGAGCCGTGTTTTTGGTAGATAAAGAAAAGCAGGAGAAGCCTGAAAAATAGGACCCATGGTGAGCCCAAAGTAAGCCAGAAAGGGGGTTCAGCAGATGAGCAATGGGCAGCCTGCAGCTAAAGCGCTGCACAAACACCGCAAGGGGTGGGCTGAATCAAAAATGTATGAGCCAGGCATGGCGCTGCACGCTTGCAATCCCAGCCTTCTGGGAGGCTGAGGCAGGACGATCACAAGTTTGAGCCCAGCCTGCACAGCGTACTGACTGAGACCCTGTCTTAAAATGAAAATAATAAAATAAAAAAGCTCTGGGGATGTAGCTCAGTGCAAAGGCCTTGGGTTCAATTCCAATACCGGAAAAAAAACAGAAGTGCAGGGCTGGGGTTTGAAGTTGTCCTTGTGTCCTTTGCCCAGGTGCCTGTGAACAGATCCATAAAGTAATTTGTGTTGTTAGTGGTATTCAGCAGCTCACTCAGAGATAAACCCATGTTTCCTGGAGTGAGTTTCTAAGCTCCAGGGCTCCCTGATCAGATTTCATTTTTAACCAAATTTGAGCTGAGAGAGCTTCCTTGCTCTGCAAGAGTGGAATCTTCTCTGAAATTGAGGTCTAGAGCCTTCCAGTGTAACCTGGGGGCACATGGGGACATTGGGCTAGCCGAAAGGAGGGAGGGTAAGAGTGACAAGTGTACCCACGCAAGGGAGCAAGGCAAGGTATGTTCTCTTTCAGTACTAGGGCTTAAACCCAGGATTTCACATTGAGCTACATCCCCAGTCCGGCCTCCCCATTTTTCCCCTCCATTGTTTTTGGGTGTTTGCTTTTAGAGATAGGGTCTCCCGAAGTTGCTAAATTGCCCAGGTTGGGTGGGGATTTAGCTCAGTGGTTCTGCCACTTATAAGCGCAAGGTCTCAAGTTCAATCCCTGGTACCCCCCCCAAAATAGTAAAATAAATAAACAAACAAATTAATAAATAAATTGCCTAGGCTGAGGTTGTCATCCTCCTGCCTCAGCCTCCCAGAATGCTGGGATTATAAGTGTGTACCACCATGAGGAAGGCTATTTTATTTTTTAATTTTTGTGAAGGTTATTTTAAATTCAGGCAAACACAGAAGGCTTATAAATGATTCTAAGATAAGAGATTCCAAAAACATTAGGAAAAATTTAAGGTATCAAGTGAAAATTCTGAATGCTTTGATGTGACAGCTCTTCAGGAAAAATATCCCAGGCTTGGAACAGTGGCTGGACAGTGTAGATGCTCAATAAATACAGATGAGGTGAATAAATAGAAGAAAATTAAAAGTACAACTGCACAGCCACCCACCCAGAAATTCCAATCTATCCTTTACACAAATCCATATTTTACAAAATTTGTCTTCCGAAAATAAATGATATTCCACTTTGAAAAAGTGATATACCACAGGGGAAATAATTTACTCAGTAGAGTTACAAAATCTTGACCAAAAGGCAAATAATCTACTTCAAAGAGAACCAGAATGAAAAATATAGAAGTCACTGTGTATAAACAATTAAAAGGCTAACACATGTGCAAAAATATTTCTGATTTCTGTTACAAACCCTTTATAAACGTTATCAGAGAGGAGATTTTAAAAAATTAATCTTGATTTTAACACTTTACCGTCTCTGTTGGAATGTTAGATAAAACAAAGGTATGCAAACTGACATCAGACCAAAAATAGTGATCGTAAAAAGGTAAGATCCAAAGAGGATTTTTTTTAGGGCAGTGATACTGATAACATTCTTCTACAGACACATAGAATGCACAACACCAGGAGTGAAACTTAATTATTTAAACTGTGGACTCTGGGGGAGGTGTAGGCTCATGGATTATAATCAGAAGCACCTCTGTCATGTGGGGCATTGCTGGGGGGAGGCTGTGTACTTTTGGGGTGGAGGTACATGAAACTTTGCTCTCAAGTCTGCTGCAAACCTAAAACCGCTGTTAAAATAAAACCCAACAAAACAGTATTCTTTAAGAAAAAAGCCAAAGAAACAATTACAGTAATCCTACAGTCTATGAAGATTGTCATTTGGATACTAAGCAGCTCAAGTCTACTGAAAGGAAATTTGAGGAATAAGAGATCAGGTTTCTCACGTATATTCAAATCTTAGCGAAATGTTGCCTCAAAGGCAGCAAAAAGAGGAATTTTAGGTACAAAATATATTTCCCTGTATGGTGCAGGAAAAGTTCTAAAGTTAGGTTGTGTGGCAATGGCTGTCCAGCTCAGTAAGCACATTTAGAAGTCACTGGATCACACATTTGACAGTTTTGAGACTTCCAGACACACTTTTTCTCCTGGTTCTCTTGACCCTAGGATGTAATTCCAGCTCTGATTTTTGAAAGCTCAGGGGCTGGCACTGCAGGGGAAGGAAATCTCAGCAAGATAAAGTGGGAAAATTTCCCCTTCCTGCAGCAGGGCGGGGGTCTTGTTGACCAAGGAGACTAGAAAGACACCTGGGTTTTAGGCATTGTCACCATGGCCTGGGAACATAATGTCTAACCTCTAAAAAGTCTATAGTCCTGCAAGCTCTCTTAATCAAAATCCATGGCTCCAGGCTGGGGTGCAGCTCACCCTGAGCCCCTGCACATGTGCAAGACCCTGTGTTCCAGCCCCAGCTCTGCCAAATAAAATCAAACATGAGGCTCTGGCCATAGGTTTGAAATGGATGACTCTGTTTTGGGAAACAAATAGCGAGTTTTCTCTGCTTAGTCAGAAAAGAATTAAAGAGACTTTCTTCTTAAACGGGGGGTTTGAGAGTTTAAACTCATATAAATAAATTGTTATTTTCTCCCCCGTTTAACAGATGAGGAAACTGAGGCACAGGCAGGTTGTCACTTTATATAACACAGGATGCAGAGATTTGAACCCAGCCTGCCTCACTCTCACTCTGGCGTTTGCTTTTGACCACAAGGCTTTGCACAGTATCGCTTAGTCCTCAGAACCCCTCAATATGCAGAAACAGAGGTGATGAAATGACCTTTCCCGAGGTCACACAGCTAGAGACTGGCAGGAGGACCCGAGCTTTGCTTCTGGCCATCTAACCCTGAGAACCTTCCGCCTGTCCTGTTACTGCCTCCTCCCCGCCCACCTGGCTGCCCGCCCTGGACTCACCTGCGCTCCTGCCCGAAGAGGCGCTCCACCTCAGTGCGGCCAGGGCTTCGAGTGCGGCCCCCGCTGCTGCCTTGCGCCTGGGGTGCTGGGTCCCTCTGGGCCAGCCTCCTGGGCGGGGGCAAGTCGGCCAGCACGGTGTACTCCTCCCTCTCCAAGTTGTGCCTGGTCTCCCCGGGAGGCGCTGAGCCCCGAGGGCCCCTGGAGCTGCCCGGTGGGGGCGAGGGTGCCAGGAGCGCTAGGTCTGTGGGCGGGTGTCGGGGTGGGGAGGACGCTCGAGGCGCATCGCGGTGCCCGATGCACACCTGCGGGGGGGTCGGGGGGCAGCCATGCAGAGAGTCAGTGGAGAGGGCGAGACTCTCCATACTGGCCCCCGGGGGCTCCTGGAAGAAGAGCGAGGGCTCAGGGGCTTGGCGCGGGGGCGATGAGAAGGAGGGGGCGTCCCGGTGGCCGATGCACACGGAGGTGGGGGTGTGGGGGCGCTCGTGCAGGGAGTCCGTGGAGGGCACGAGGCTCTCGGTGCTGGCCCTGGGGAGATCCTGGAACAGGAAGGAGGGCTCTGGGAACTGGCGTGGCGGGGAGGAGGCGCGGGGCGCATCCCGGTGCCCAATACACACAGGTGGGGGGAAGTGTGGAGGGTCGTGCTGGGGACACTCGCTGTGGTTCTCCGTATCTGACGTGTCTGGGAGGAAGAGGAAGGGGTCGAACTGAGTGTAGCGAGGGGGTGAGGATGCCCGAGGGGCATCGCGGTGCCCGATGCACACAGCAGGTGGCATATAGGGAGGGTCATGGTGAGATGATTCGCTCTCGGGGGCACGGGGCTCCGGAAAGAAGGGGAACGGGTCGTGCTGCAAGGAGCGAGGAGGCGAAGAGGCTCGCGGGGCGTCGCGGTGGCCGATGCACACAGAGTATGGAGGCTGGGAGGGCTCGGAGGAGGTCTGGGGTGCCCCACGTGTCACAGGGTACAGAGGTGAGGAAGTCCGGGAGGCACTGAGGTGGCCTGGGTTATGGGAGGAAGAGGCAGCTTGGGGTGGCGCATTGTGCCGGACCGGTGCACAGGAGGACTGGGGTGTGTCACGCTGGCCTGGTCTGGTGGGAGAGGAGGTCCGAGGCCTGTCACCTTGGGTTGGCCGGAGGGCAATGGATGCCCAGGGCACCTCGCTTTGCTTGGAGCGAGATGGGGAACAGGCTCGGGCACCATCACTTGGCGTAGGCCGGAGGGGAAAGGACGCCCAGGGGATGTCCTTGTTGGTTTGATGGGGAGAGGGACTCCTGGGATTGCTCCGTTGAGTGGCGTGGCGAGGAGATGACGGTCCAGGATTGTCCCTTTGGGTGTACCTCTGAGGGGAGGAAGTCCCAGGGCCATCTCGCTGATGGGAAGAGTAGTGTGAGGAATCCCGCTGGGTGCAGGTGCTTCTGAGGTGCTCCCATCTGCTACGAGAGGGTTTTGGGTTGTCTCGGTGGGTGGAAGAGGTTTTGGAAGTGTTTTGTTGGATACAGGAAGTTCTGAGGTTTTCCTTCTGGGAGCTTCTGCTGGGAGGTGAGGACCTGGGGTTGTCCCATTGGGCACAGGATGTTCTAGAATTTTCTCTTTGGGAAGCTCTGTTAGGAGAGGAGGCTCTGGGATTGTCCCGTTGGGCACAGGATGTTCTAGAGTTCTCTCTTTGGGAAGCTCTGTTAGGAGAGGAGGCTCTGGGACTGTCCCGTTGGGCAGAGGATGTTTTAGAGTTCCCTCTTTGGGAAGTTCTGTTAGGAGAGGAGGCTCTGGGACTGTCCCGTTGGGCACAGGATGTTCTAGAGTTCTCTCTTTGGGAAGCTCTGTTAGGAGAGGAGGCTCTGGCATTGTCCCTTTGGGCACAGGATGTTCTAGAGTTTTCCTTCTGGGGAGCTCGATTTGGAGAAGAGGTTCTGGGATTGTCCCATTGGGGACAGGATGCCTTGGGAGTTTCCCGTTGGGTGGCTCTGTTGGGAGAGGTGGCTCTGGCATTGTCCTTTTGGGCACAGGATATCCTGGGGGTTTCCCGCTGAGGAGGACAAGTATGAAAAGAGCTTGGGAGGTTGTCCTGTTGGGTACAAGGGGTTCTCTGACTGTCTTGTTGGGTGGCTCTGAGAAGAGAAGAAAGTTGAGGATTGTTCTGTTGAGGGGGGGAGGTTCTGGGGTTGTGGGAGACTCTTGAGGGAGAGGACGTTCTTGGGGTGTTCTGCTGTGTGGATGAGGCCCTGGGGGTGTCCCATCGCGTGGATGAGGTCCTGGCGTTGTCCTTCTGGGTGATTCGATGGGGAGAGGAGGCTCTTAGGAGTCCTTGTGTAGAAGGAGCCTGGGCAATGTCCCTTTGGGCAGAGGACACCTGGTGGGTGGCACTTCGAGGTCCACTCTGTGGTTTCTCAGAGGAAGCCTGGGTTGGCAAGGAGCGATGTCGCTCCAAGAAGCTGCCACTGTCTCCCCGAAGCTTCACCCAGTGCTGTCCGGGACTCCTGCTCCTGCTGTGAGTGTCTGGGGAGAGACAGGGAGGTTCAAGGTAGGGGGAGGCTCCCAGCAGCTCTCACACTGTTTTTCTTTGTCCCCTGGGATCAATGATTAGGGAAGACCCCATGTTGGTGTCTCAAAGGTTCTACTGCCCACACAAAAAGACCCCACCCCTCTGACCAATGCTGGTTTAGACAAGGGTAGGGACACCTCCTTCCAGCTGGGGCAGGAACGTGAAACCCAGGGCCAAGCTGACTTGGTCAGTAGGGGGCAGGTGCCGGATAGAGGTCTGGGGTCCAAGGGTGCGTCAAAGGGGACACAAACACACATTCACGGAGAGAAGTTTTGACAACGCCATGACCCCAAGGGGAGAAGGGGTATCTGACAGCCGCTACCTAGCAACTTTCCCTTCCTGGTTCTACTTCCTGTAGCTGGATTCCCAGAAATCAAGCCAATTTCTTCTAAGGGGCACCTTTGATGATTGAGGGCTCTAGAGGGCTCCAGTGCCCTGTGCCTGAGGCTGCAGTAAGAAGGACCAGGCCAGGGTTAGCTTGGCCTCTTAGGTGCCAGGGAGGAATGCAGACCCTCAGGCCCTGCCCTGGATGCACAGCCTCAGATTCCATGTAAGCAGATTCCCAGGCCTTTCACCCTCAGTTTCTGAGGCACTGGTTCAGGGGATTGGTGCACCTGCCCTCACCAGTACCCCTCCATAACTCCTTGCCCCAAAACAGGGTCTCTGTGACCTTGGTGCACTCCCTATCCCTCTCGATCCTATGGCAATCAACTGCATGTGTCCTCGGAGTGGTGCTCAGGGGAGAAACACTGTAGCCTCATCTGGAAGAAGCCTTCACGAAGCCTGCGGGAGGTCCCCTCTCTTCCTTTAACCTTGCCAAGTTGGTGTCAATCACGTCTGAACTCCAGGACCTGGCACTGTCATTCCTGTGGGCTGATGCCCCACGTCATCCTCAAATGCACTCCGAAGTCACCCCTTTCCTCATCTCAGCTCCTCCCCCAACCCTAGACCTCGGCACCTGCACTGTGTGCCCGGGCCCCAGTGTCATCGCTCCCCCACTTCCAGAGCAAAGTGACCAGATGGCCCTGCTCAAAGCCCTTCAGGGGAAGGGGAAGATAAGGCGGATGGGAACGCTGTCACAGATCAGAGGCCTCAGAGGAGACCAGCAACAAGTTACAATGTGGGGTGCTGGACTGGATCCGGGGACAAAAACAGGACATTAGAAGGAGAACGAGGGCATCTGTTCTACAAATAAAGTCTAGCTTCCTTAGGGTTAGCCCAGTGTCCATGACCACCCTGTCTTTTCCTGTTTCGTTTTGTTTATTTTGTTTGTGGTACTGGGAATTGAACCTAGACTCTGCACTGAGCTACATCTCCAGCCTCTGTGTGTGTGTGTGTGTGTGTGTGTGTGTGTGTGTATTTGTGTACCAGGGTCAAACTCAGGACCTCACACTTACCAGGCAGGCACTGTGCCGCTGAGCCAAATCCCCGGCCAATCCAACCCTTTTGTTTTTTGAGTCAGGGTCTAGCTAAGTCACTGAGTCACCCAGGCTAGCCCGGCCTGAACTTGGCAATCCTCCTGCCTCAGCCTCTCAGAGTTCCGGGATTACAGGCGTGCACCACCACACCCAGCTTGTGTGTGTGTGTGTGTGTGTGTGTGTGTGTGTGTGTGTGTGTTGCTGGGAACGGAACCCAGGGCCTCACACAGGCTACCCAAGGGCTTTACCACTAGCAACATCCACAGTTCCCACCAATGTCAGTTTCTCAGTTTGGATCACCATGCTATAACATTAAAGGAATCTGGGTGAAGGGTACGGTAGCAACTCTCAGGACAATAAGTACAGCACAACTCTTCTATAAATCTAAGATTACTTCAGAGCAAAAAGTTGGAAAAAAAAAACCCTTCAAATGTTCCCTACTGCATTTGGCATTTGGGGCCACGCTCCACGGTTCCTCCCTCACGCTCCACCCTGCTTCCAGCTCCTCCACCTCACACAAGCACCGGCTGGCTGCCCAGGGCCTTGCTCTCGCTGTCCCTCTGCTCAGGCACTTCCCTCATTCCTGGCTGTTTCCTTCTCAGGCTCGGGCTCCAGGACAGCCCTCTGTGCACCTCTGTGCCTCTCCTGCTCTGTCCCGGAGGCTCTGTTTGGGAAGCACCGTGCCCTCCAGATGGAATCCCCAGGCTTGGCGCTCAGCAGCCGCACCGCCACCTCCTGCTCTAGTCTCTGCCGGCCTGGAGGCTCCCCACGCACCCTCTGAGCTCAGCTCCCAGTCTGGTGCCTTCTCTTCCCCACCATCTCAAGCCACCTCTCCGCTTTGTTTTGTTTTGGGATTATTGGGGTTTTTTTCTTCCTTTTGGATTTTTTTTTCTTTTTTGTACCAGGGATCGAACTCAGAATCTTGCGCTTGTGAGACAGGCAGTGGCACCACTGAGCTACATCCCCAGCTCCCCCTTCTGGATTTTTGAGACAGGGTTTCAGTATGCAGCCCAGGCTGGTCTCAAACTTCCAGTGATCCTCCCACCTCAACGCCCCAAGTGCTGGGATGACAGGCACCACCGCAAACAGATTCAAGCTGCCCTTTGTGCCTGCCTCATTCAGGATCCGCCTCCACTCTGCAGCCCCTCTGTGGGCACACAGGGCAGGTTCCAGAGGTCCCTGGGAACTCTGTGTCCTGTCCCTACCAGCCAGGCTCTGCACAGCCTGCCTGAGGAGCGAACTCAGTGACTGAAGAGGTGTCTGGAAAGATAAATATTGAGGGTCCCCAACGTCACAGAGCTGGTAAATCCCTGCTGGGCCTTGGCGTCTGTCTGCAATTCAGGGATCTGCCGCCAGGCGGACAGTGGTGACTGTTTCTGGTTTTTTTAAGTAGGTCAGAGTGAGGCTCCCGCCCAGCTCCCCACTGCCTGGGGTGTTTAGGAGCAGGAAAGCAGGCACTTAGGATAAAATCCCAGCTGGCTGTCAGACCACTGGCACCCCAGAGAGGCATTTGGTTTCCCTGTGTCACTACACGTTCCCACACCCCACTTCCGGGTTCTATCTGGGTGGTGGTGTAATTACTGTTTAGGAGAGTCAGCTCCGGCGCCCGGGGCAAGAATGGGCTGGAGGTCCAGGGCAGAAGCCACAGCCTGGCCGAGGCTCTGGTGAGAAGCCTGGCGTGACAGCGGCTCAGCCAGGGATTGTCACTGAGAGGCCAACAGGAGCAGATTTAGGGTGTGGTTGGGAGGAGGCTGGGTCAGGAGCTGCTGGTGACGCAGACCTGAAGTCCAAGAGCACTGACATCCCCACCAGTGCCCAGGCTGGGTGCCCAGCAGCCCTGTCCTCCTGCGCCCGGTCCCATGGAGTCACTTCCTCAAGCTCTCTTCTTCTCTGCCCCTCCACTGGTCAGGAGAGTCTGTCATGTGGCTTCTCCTGAGAACAAGGCCATGCTCCTTCCAGACCGCGGAGCCGCACTCGGGAGAGACAAGGTGACCGCTGCTCCACCTGACACACTGTCCACACTGAGGGCCCAGCTCGGGCCTGGGTGTCTCTCAGAGCCCATCTTCTCCCCCCAGGCTGCGCTCAGGGTCCCCGCGCCATCACGCCACCTCCCCAGCTCCGCAGCCTCTATTTTCCTCCACTGCCGGGGATGGAAGCCGGGGCCTCACACTTGCTAGGCAGGCGGCCACCGCTGAGCCATACCCCAGCCCTGGAGCCTCTCATGAAGGTCAGCTCTTTTGCAGAACGTCCCTCCATGTGGGTCGGCCTAGTGTTTCGTCTGGGTTAGGAACAGGTGCTGCATGTGAGCAGAAACCGGAAGGGAAGGGATGCTGCGCTGCCCCAGCACCACCTCAGGGAGCACGACGACAGTTTGTCCCACTCTGGGGGTGCTGAGTGGCCACCTGGCTAAGGTGGGGTCTGCCGGAGTCCCATCCTAGGGCTGACCTTTTCCTGTACAGTCAGTGTGTAATCTGAGGGGACGCTTTGCACCTGTGACTATCCTGTTCCCCTCACTACCTTTTGCCCAGAGCCTAGGCCTCGGCCGCTAATTCCTGCCTAAACCGGATATTGCTACGGTGGCCACAAGGCTCTCTTAACTGTTTCTACCCTGCACCCGCACCTTGCTTCGGTTCATTCTTTGCTTCTTGCCTTGGGAATCCTCCTAGGGCACAGAGTGAGTTATGTCACTCCTTTCTCCCAAACCTTCCATGGCTCCTTACAACTTAGGGAAGAAAGTTTAGCCCCCCTCTGGGCTCAAGCCCCGGTCCCGCCTCCCAGCTCTTCTGAGCTGTCCCTCAGCTGCGCGTCACCCTTGGTTCTGATGCCGTCCCCTGAGGGTCTGCTGCCCCCCATAGCCCTTTGCTCACTTCACACTACTGTCTCGGTCCCGCCTCTGACCTGGGGTCCTGTTCACACTTCTGTCTGCTTTACTAGGTGACATGAGCCTCTGTCTTTCCATGGTGCCACTCAGGAATACAGGCAGCCAGAACTGCCCATAGGACCAGAAGGGGCTGTCCTGGCCCCGTGTCCCCAAATCCTGTCTGTGCTGAAGACAAACACCAGGCAGCGACACGGCGCAGGAGTGACTGAGGGTCCAGTGAGATTACCGCCAGTGTCCTCGGCCTGTGTGCCAGACCTGACAGCAACCTTTGCCCTTCTCTGGAACGGTCACCTGATTTCCTTTGGGGACTCGCCTCTCCCCCCATCTCGGGTCATGAGGTTCGAACAGGGGACTGATCTGGATCCCGAGCCTGGGCCCAGTGAGATCACTTCCTGAGACTTCAGTTCTACCAATAGGGAAGACTGTGTCTTCCCGGGGAAGAGGATGAGCAGGTGGGATATAGTCTTTCAGTACAGATGGTCATCATGCCACCATCAGGAAGGGTCTGGTTAAGAATGAAGCCGCCACTGCATGTGGTGGTGCACACCTATAATCTCAGCACTCAGGAGGCTGAGGCAGGAGGATCACTGTGAGTGGGCTACATAGTAAGATCCTGTCTA